GTGTCGTCGACGTCAAAATCGCCATTTTTGAACTTCGCAAACCATTTCCATGTTGTATAGACTCTCCTATGACACCTTCTCCGAATACGTTGCAAATGTTCTGGACTGCTTTGGCAGCTTTTTGGCCTCGATGAAAAGCAAAGAAGAGAAGGTGTCGAAAACGTTGCTTTTTACCTCCTGGATATTCCATTTCTAAGCCTCGAAAGTAATAAAAAATTAAATCACTCAAAAAGACGATTAGCACAGTTTTGTAGAGCAGAAAGAGCTCTATCGAATGAATATCATACACATTGTCAAACAGCAAAAAATCGTTGTGAAATAAAAGAAAATATAAAAACGCTACGAACTTATTCCCCAAGCCAATAAAAAGTAGAAGCAATTCACCTCTGTCGTTTCGGCTCGACGACCCTGTAAATCTTTGCGTAGCCGTCCATTGCTCTCACCCAGATACACATCGATTTGCACGCCTTGCTCTGCTTGGCAACCAGATCCGGTCGGAACTCCGGATGGTTCACGTATTCTTGCAGCTTGTTTAGAAGCTTGTCGCTTATCTCGTCCTTGGGATAGGCCATTAAACGGTCGAGGAAATGTATGTCACCCAGAACCAACTTGGCCGATGGCCAATCTGTCCTGGAGACGGGATTTTGTTGATAATTTCATTGGCGGTTGAGTTTCTAGGTTGATACGATCAAACGTACTTTTCGCCTAGCAGCAGATTAACAGCCTCCATCACGAAGCGGACCAAATGGGGCGGCTTATTGAACACGCGGATTTCGTTGATGTCGTTCTTGTTCAAAGCTTCCAACGCCTTCTGGGCCTCCATTAGAGCGGGCATTGCCGCTTCCAAGTCTTGTCTGGCGTCAGCCTCCAGTATCGCTGTCTCGTCGGCTTTTAGCTAACGACGAAGAAAACGATAAAGAACGCGAAGAAAACGATAAAGAACGCGAAGAAAACGCGGCGCGCATTCGATCCATTCGACGGTTCGAAATACATAATCACGTTCGCATTGTTCGCACACCTTGGCCGTAGCTTCTTCGGCGCTGATCACGTATTTAGCTTTGTCGCACTCGGCTTGTTGCTTCGCGATCATTTTTACCAGCTTCGACACCTCGTCCGTGCTTGCCTTCAGCTTCGGTGCAAGAATGACTAAATGTTCTTTCATGACGGCGACCATCTCGTTGGTCTCGAGGAGTTTCTGTTTCGAATTCGGAGTAGTTCAGACGAACACACGTTATTACCTACAGCGGCCCACGAAAGTGTTCGTACAGCTTTTAAAACGCAATAACTTTTTTAAAACTGGACTGAGTAACTTGAATTTTTTCGGATGATGGCGAGATTGGTCTATTAGACGATGTCCGAATTGCTTTTCTTAAATTTTGGTATTACTTGGAATGACAAAAAAAAGAAATAAAAAACTCTTATTTTTTTTAACTTTTTTATCTGAGCCTATAACGGAAATTTAAAAAATGCCTCTCTTGGATCTCGGTAACTAATATGTACGCTGAAAATTTTATCGAAATCAGTTGACGTTGCTATGAGTTGTAACAAATTAAAGATGACAAAAATCACAGTTTTATCACGATTTTGACCAAAACCTGGAAGAAATCTGCAGTTTTTAAAATCTTTCAACGCCCGCAGTTCGATTATGGGTTAATCAATTTCGATCAAATTTTCGGCACGCATATATATTACCGAGATCTACGAAAGGCATTTCTAAAATTTTTGATATAAGCTCAGATAAAAAAGTTAAAAAACGAGAGTTTCTTATTCTTCTCTGTCATCCCAAGTAATAGCAAAATTAAAAAAAAAAAGGCATTTTAGTCATCGTCTAGTAGACCAGCCCCTCTATCATCTAAAAAAAATTCAAGTCATTTGGTCGAGTTTTGAAAAAGTTCTAGAAGGTGTGCGAACACTTTTCTGGGCCACCGTATCTCGCGATCCATTTATTTTTCGTTCGATCGGCCACTCACATTCAGACCGTTCGAAATCTTGATCTTCAGCGTCTCGATCTCCTTTTTCTTCTTGTCCAAAGTGATCCGAAACAATTTCAACAGCTCCAAGTAGCTACTCGGGGTGGTATAATACCGACGACGCATTTCTATGAAGAATCGAACGGTCACCTCTTCGACGGTCTGGAATTTTCGCGCGTGTTAAAGGAACTCTGAGCTGGATACGCTGAAAGGATCTTCTGCAAGGATACCTTGTGGATCAAGACGCAGATCGAACAGAGACCACCGACTAGTTTCGGATTATCTGGAACAACTGCGGACAATGTGTTTTCTGCTACCGAGAGGAGGGCATCGTTCGGCCATGTGGTAAACCAATCGATCGTGCAGCAGTTGACCAACGACGGAAACATGCGACACCGGTGCCTGCGCAACGAGATGGCGGATGAAACGAAGAAAACAACCTATTTTCGATCGCTTCCGATCGCGTTTGACCGATCGCGAAGCTATGCGGTCTCGAAGAATCCGAAGCTTACCGAAATGCGTCGCCTATAGGACTCATACAGATCATCAGGTGAAGCTGATTTCGAACTCTTCCGATGAAAAACTGGTAGATAGCGTCTCTGTTTGTCTCGCTAATTCCTGCTTTCTTCGCAGCGGGTCTAGTGGCGATGATAACCTTTTCCAGTTCGTCCGCGTCGTACAAGTTTGGCACCTCCCCTTAACAATACAGGATGTCCCAAAAATGTCTCATAATCCAGAAATGGCGAGCTCTTCAGATCATTTGAAGCAACTTCTTCCTTTACAAAAATTTCCCCCGAGGCACCGTTAACGAGTTATTAATGGAAAACAGTGACCAATAAGAATCGAGTACGGCTGACGCGAGGCGGCCCAACCAACTAGCGCACGAAGCCCAGTTCCGCTCGTTGGCTCGGCCGCCTCGCGCCAGCTGAGCTAGGATTCGACCGCCTCGACCGTTGACGCCGTTGACTCGGCCGCCTCGCGCCAGCTGAATTGGGATTCGACCGCCTCGACCGCTGGCGCCGTTGGCTCGGCCGACTCGCGCCAGCTGAGCTCGCCTCTAATTGGTCACTGTTTTTCGTTAATAACTCGTTAACGGTGCCCCGGAGAAAACTTTGGTAAAGGAAGAAGTTGCTTCAAATGACCTGAGGAACCCGCCACTTTCGGATTGCGAGACATTTTTGGGACATCCTGTATAATTTAAATAATATAAAAATAATATAATATAATATTAATATAATTTAAATAATAAATTTGTGAATATCGTTTAAAGCAATGTTTAAACAGTTTATTCGTATATAGCATTGCAGCAGTTTTTCTTCTTTATTGTGACATATTGTGTTATAAGCTCGCCTCTCATTGGTCACTGTTTTTCGTTGATAACTCGTTAACGGTGCCTCGGAGAACATTTTTGAAAAGGAAAAAGTTGCTTCATATGACCCGAGGAACCCGCCACTTTCGAATTGCGAGATTTACGCATACGACACGATTCGTTCACCGAGTAAACATCCAATCGCGTTATATCTCGATGGAATAGCAACTTTACCAGTATTTAAGGTGTTGTTGATGTCCTCTAAAAAGTCCTCGAGCACGATTTGTGTATCCGTGAATAAGAAGCTCGTGTGTTTGGCGAGGGCACCCGGATCGAAATAGAAACGTCGCAGGTCCTCGTGCCACGCATTTTTGTCGTACGTCCGTGTTACTTGGATCTGATAGCAACTTCGAATACATATTCATAAACATTAGGATTATCGTTCGTTTCGATCCGATTCTACGATTTCAGCGGAGATACGAACTTGTAACCGTGCAAGTGAGACGCGAGCTTCGTTAGACTTTGCTTTCCCATTCCTCCGACACCGACGAGCAGTCCGTTGCCCCTTTCGGACCGGAGAATTCGCGCGAGCCTGCAGACGTGTTCAATGGCGTCCATGAAGAAGATTATTCCCATGTCTTTTCCCACGGAGAAACGATAATCTTCCAAGTAGTCCTGAACAAAGTTCACGCTCGGGAAGATATTTCAGCGAAATAAACGGCCGTGGAAAGACGCGTACAGCAAATTCTCTAAATTCATAAATTGTCCTTCAACGTGTAAACAGAAATTTGAGAAGAGGAAACACGATTATTCTCAAATTGTGCATTTCTGTTTGCAAGCTGAGGAACAATTGGAAACAATTGCACAATTGTTGTTGTACAATTGAACAATTGAACAATTTACTATACTCGTTGAAGTTCGAAATTCAAAGTAGTTTCACGTTGGATTCGTTGTACCTCCAATGTCCTTTTGACTTTCGAAATCTCGGTAAGTTCCTCATAAATTCTGTGTTCCTTGGGAGCCCCGAATGCCATGAAATCGCCAAACAACAGGGCCGGTGGTTTTTCGATGACTTTCTCGTCCGGAAGTCGTACCACCTCGCTGCCAAATGTGCTGGCGCAGATGTTGTTCAGAAGTCTGTAGAAATAACTCTTGTCCTCCACGTTTATCAGCCGATCGTGGAACACTCGAAGACATTCGTGGTAAAAGAGCCTGAGAGGGGGCGAATGGAACTGTTCAAGTCTTACTTATCGTTCGAGGCGACGCGAATCGTACACAATGCGCAATTAACCCCTTAACGCACAGTTTTTTTGAAAAAAAAACCGGCCAAGGAAATAAATTTTTTTTATGTAAAAGAAACACAATTTACAACATTGTCTTGGCAAAAAAATTAAAAAAGTACAAAAATAATCAAAATTTTAATTTTAATTTTGGATTTTGATCCACATTGCACAGAAAAGAGCCGAATACTGCAATGTTACACGTATATCGACTTTTTTATCTTTCTTTTCGAATTGCTATTTCGGAAAAAACATATTTTTATCGGTAAAAATATTTATTTATATTTTTACAACGTAAATAATAATAATACTAGTATTATACTTAGTATATTATTATTATTATTATTATTATNATTATTATTATTATTATTATTATTATTATTATTATTATTATTATTATTATTATTATTATTATTATTATTATTATTATTATTATTATTATTATTATTATTATTATTATTATTATTATTATTATTATTATTATTATTATTATTATTATTATTATTATTATTATTATTATTATTATTATTATTATTATTATTATTATTATTATTATTATTATTATTATTATTATTATTATTATTATTATTATTATTATTATTATTATTATTATTATTATTATTATTATTATTATTATTATTATTATTATTATTATTATTATTATTATTATTATTATTATTATTATTATTATTATTATTATTATTATTATTATTATTATTATTATTATTATTATTATTATTATTATTATTATTATTATTATTATTATTATTATTATTATTATTATTATTATTATTATTATTATTATTATTATTATTATTATTATTATTATTATTATTATTATTATTATTATTATTATTATTATTATTATTATTATTATTATTATTATTATTATTATTATTATTATTATTATTATTATTATTATTATTATTATTATTATTATTATTATTATTATTATTATTATTATTATTATTATTATTATTATTATTATTATTATTATTATTATTATTATTATTATTATTATTATTATTATTATTATTATTATTATTATTATTATTATTATTATTATTATTATTATTATTATTATTATTATTATTATTATTATTATTATTATTATTATTATTATTATTATTATTATTATTATTATTATTATTATTATTATTATTATTATTATTATTATTATTATTATTATTATTATTATTATTATTATTATTATTATTATTATTATTATTATTATTATTATTATTATTATTATTATTATTATTATTATTATTATTATTATTATTATTATTATTATTATTATTATTATTATTATTATTATTATTATTATTATTATTATTATTATTATTATTATTATTATTATTATTATTATTATTATTATTATTATTATTATTATTATTATTATTATTATTATTATTATTATTATTATTATTATTATTATTATTATTATTATTATTATTATTATTATTATTATTATTATTATTATTATTATTATTATTATTATTATTATTATTATTATTATTATTATTATTATTATTATTATTATTATTATTATTATTATTATTATTATTATTATTATTATTATTATTATTATTATTATTATTATTATTATTATTATTATTATTATTATTATTATTATTATTATTATTATTATTATTATTATTATTATTATTATTATTATTATTATTATTATTATTATTATTATTATTATTATTATTATTATTATTATTATTATTATTATTATTATTATTATTATTATTATTATTATTATTATTATTATTATTATTATTATTATTATTATTATTATTATTATTATTATTATTATTATTATTATTATTATTATTATTATTATTATTATTATTATTATTATTATTATTATTATTATTATTATTATTATTATTATTATTATTATTATTATTATTATTATTATTATTATTATTATTATTATTATTATTATTATTATTATTATTATTATTATTATTATTATTATTATTATTATTATTATTATTATTATTATTATTATTATTATTATTATTATTATTATTATTATTATTATTATTATTATTATTATTATTATTATTATTATTATTATTATTATTATTATTATTATTATTATTATTATTATTATTATTATTATTATTATTATTATTATTATTATTATTATTATTATTATTATTATTATTATTATTATTATTATTATTATTATTATTATTATTATTATTATTATTATTATTATTATTACTATTATTATTATTATCATTATTATTATTATTATACTAGTATAAAAAGGCTATATTTTATTCTTGAATAAATAAGTGTTATAGCTTACAATCCCATGTAAATGATAAATATCAATAAAACGATTTTCTTTCTTTGCTTTCACATTGTTATTTTCAATTCTCGATTATATTCGAGCGTGAAAAATTATAGCAGCATAAAATACAACGCCGCTCGAATTATCTCGAGTGTGCACAGTTTGGCCTGTTTAGCGCGCTCGAATTAACTCGAGCGTACAAGTTAAGGAGTTAATCAAAATACCTGTACATCTCTTGAGGCTGCTTTATAACCGTGGCGCGCACTTGCATGATCCCCTGAATGCATTTCGACAGATCGCGCAGGTTGAAAATGTAGTGGCTCTTCTCCGGAGTCGGCAGAAGATCGTCCGCGATCCTCTGATACACGTCCACCGCGGCGTTTACTATCTTCTCCCCGATCATCTTCACCGACTCGACGAAATCGGTCAAGAAACCGTTCATTATCGCTCTAAACAATTATTTGATTTCCTTCACATTGAGCGACAATTCTTTCAATTAGGTTGCGGACGTTACTTGAAGATTCCTTTCAAGGTCAATTCGGAGGGCGCTGGGATCAGCAAGATCGCGAAGTGTCGGACGAATCTTGGAGTTAGCGGATTCCTGCCGCCCCCGGGTGGAGCGCACGCCACGGTATAGACGACGTCCTCCACGTCTTTCCAGAATAACTTGTCCCGGTCGTACATTCCGTCGAAATCCAGCAGCTGCCTGCACGGATCGATAGTACGTTTCTATCGATAACGCAAGATACAATATTCGAACAGGAACACCTAGACGATTTCTATCGTTTCTGGTAGTACTAATAAACGAAGCGATGTACAATGGTAGAAGATACTTTCTTCGGATTTCGCGAGCTTTTAACACGTTCGTCGCCGCGTCACCCAGATCTGGGTGACGGGTATGCTTCTGTGGAGGCCCCGTCACCCAAATATGGGCGACGCTCTTCTTATTCCATTTATAGGACTTTCAGTTGGATTTTAAAAGGAATAAAATGGAATGAGCACTGAAATATAAACATAGGATATACAACTTAAAAATACTAAAAATATTATACTATGTACATATTATACTATACTTTTTACTAATTTATATTTAGTATAACACATTACATTATACTATGTCGTATGCTGTGCGTTGAAACATTCTAAACAGATTTGAGGTGATTTTGGACAATTCGAACGATAGGACGTAGTTTTTTCTACATTTTTGTTCGCTTCTTGACGTTCAGGTTATGTCAAGGTTAAATTTATTTAAAATTATTTATTTAAAAAATGTATCGCTCTGTTTATCGATCTGGGTGACGGGTATGCTTCCGTGGGGGCCCGTCACCCAAATATGGGCGACGCTCTTCTTATTCAATTTATAGGACTTTCAGTTGGATTTTAGAAGGAATAAAATGGAATGAGCACTGAAATATAAACATAGGATATCCAACTTAAAAATACTAAAAATATTATACTATGTACATATTATACTATACTTTTTACTAATTTATATTTAGTATAACACATTACATTGTACTATGTCGTATCTGTCTCTTATACACATCTAGATGTGTATAAGAGACAGGGATTGCATTTTCGCTAAGGAAAAAGTTGCTTCAAATCACCTCAGGAATCCCCTGCTTTCGGATTGCGAGACATTTTTGGGACACCCTGTATATGTGCTGTCTCTTATACACATCTAGATGTGTATAAGAGACAGGGATTGCATTTTCGCTAAGGAAAAAGTTGCTTCAAATCACCTCAGGAATCCCCTGCTTTCGGATTGCGAGACATTTTTGGGACACCCTGTATATGTGCTGTCTCTTATACACATCTAGATGTGTATAAGAGACAGGGATTGCATTTTCGCTAAGGAAAAAGTTGCTTCAAATCACCTCAGGAATCCCCTGCTTTCGGATTGCGAGACATTTTTGGGACACCCTGTATATGTGCTGTCTCTTATACACATCTAGATGTGTATAAGAGACAGGGATTGCATTTTCGCTAAGGAAAAAGTTGCTTCAAATCACCTCAGGAATCCCCTGCTTTCGGATTGCGAGACATTTTTGGGACACCCTGTATATGTGCTGTCTCTTATACACATCTAGATGTGTATAAGAGACAGGGATTGCATTTTCGCTAAGGAAAAAGTTGCTTCAAATCACCTCAGGAATCCCCTGCTTTCGGATTGCGAGACATTTTTGGGACACCCTGTATATGTGCTGTCTCTTATACACATCTAGATGTGTATAAGAGACAGGGATTGCATTTTCGCTAAGGAAAAAGTTGCTTCAAATCACCTCAGGAATCCCCTGCTTTCGGATTGCGAGACATTTTTGGGACACCCTGTATATGTGCTGTCTCTTATACACATCTAGATGTGTATAAGAGACAGGGATTGCATTTTCGCTAAGGAAAAAGTTGCTTCAAATCACCTCAGGAATCCCCTGCTTTCGGATTGCGAGACATTTTTGGGACACCCTGTATATGTGCTGTCTCTTATACACATCTAGATGTGTATAAGAGACAGGGATTGCATTTTCGCTAAGGAAAAAGTTGCTTCAAATCACCTCAGGAATCCCCTGCTTTCGGATTGCGAGACATTTTTGGGACACCCTGTATATGTGCTGTCTCTTATACACATCTAGATGTGTATAAGAGACAGGGATTGCATTTTCGCTAAGGAAAAAGTTGCTTCAAATCACCTCAGGAATCCCCTGCTTTCGGATTGCGAGACATTTTTGGGACACCCTGTATATGTGCTGTCTCTTATACACATCTAGATGTGTATAAGAGACAGGGATTGCATTTTCGCTAAGGAAAAAGTTGCTTCAAATCACCTCAGGAATCCCCTGCTTTCGGATTGCGAGACATTTTTGGGACACCCTGTATATGTGCTGTCTCTTATACACATCTAGATGTGTATAAGAGACAGGGATTGCATTTTCGCTAAGGAAAAAGTTGCTTCAAATCACCTCAGGAATCCCCTGCTTTCGGATTGCGAGACATTTTTGGGACACCCTGTATATGTGCTGTCTCTTATACACATCTAGATGTGTATAAGAGACAGGGATTGCATTTTCGCTAAGGAAAAAGTTGCTTCAAATCACCTCAGGAATCCCCTGCTTTCGGATTGCGAGACATTTTTGGGACACCCTGTATATGTGCTGTCTCTTATACACATCTAGATGTGTATAAGAGACAGGGATTGCATTTTCGCTAAGGAAAAAGTTGCTTCAAATCACCTCAGGAATCCCCTGCTTTCGGATTGCGAGACATTTTTGGGACACCCTGTATATGTGCTGTCTCTTATACACATCTAGATGTGTATAAGAGACAGGGATTGCATTTTCGCTAAGGAAAAAGTTGCTTCAAATCACCTCAGGAATCCCCTGCTTTCGGATTGCGAGACATTTTTGGGACACCCTGTATATGTGCTGTCTCTTATACACATCTAGATGTGTATAAGAGACAGGGATTGCATTTTCGCTAAGGAAAAAGTTGCTTCAAATCACCTCAGGAATCCCCTGCTTTCGGATTGCGAGACATTTTTGGGACACCCTGTATATGTGCTGTCTCTTATACACATCTAGATGTGTATAAGAGACAGGGATTGCATTTTCGCTAAGGAAAAAGTTGCTTCAAATCACCTCAGGAATCCCCTGCTTTCGGATTGCGAGACATTTTTGGGACACCCTGTATATGTGCTGTCTCTTATACACATCTAGATGTGTATAAGAGACAGGGATTGCATTTTCGCTAAGGAAAAAGTTGCTTCAAATCACCTCAGGAATCCCCTGCTTTCGGATTGCGAGACATTTTTGGGACACCCTGTATATGTGCTGTCTCTTATACACATCTAGATGTGTATAAGAGACAGGGATTGCATTTTCGCTAAGGAAAAAGTTGCTTCAAATCACCTCAGGAATCCCCTGCTTTCGGATTGCGAGACATTTTTGGGACACCCTGTATATGTGCTGTCTCTTATACACATCTAGATGTGTATAAGAGACAGGGATTGCATTTTCGCTAAGGAAAAAGTTGCTTCAAATCACCTCAGGAATCCCCTGCTTTCGGATTGCGAGACATTTTTGGGACACCCTGTATATGTGCTGTCTCTTATACACATCTAGATGTGTATAAGAGACAGGGATTGCATTTTCGCTAAGGAAAAAGTTGCTTCAAATCACCTCAGGAATCCCCTGCTTTCGGATTGCGAGACATTTTTGGGACACCCTGTATATGTGCTGTCTCTTATACACATCTAGATGTGTATAAGAGACAGGGATTGCATTTTCGCTAAGGAAAAAGTTGCTTCAAATCACCTCAGGAATCCCCTGCTTTCGGATTGCGAGACATTTTTGGGACACCCTGTATATGTGCTGTCTCTTATACACATCTAGATGTGTATAAGAGACAGGGATTGCATTTTCGCTAAGGAAAAAGTTGCTTCAAATCACCTCAGGAATCCCCTGCTTTCGGATTGCGAGACATTTTTGGGACACCCTGTATATGTGCTGTCTCTTATACACATCTAGATGTGTATAAGAGACAGGGATTGCATTTTCGCTAAGGAAAAAGTTGCTTCAAATCACCTCAGGAATCCCCTGCTTTCGGATTGCGAGACATTTTTGGGACACCCTGTATATGTGCTGTCTCTTATACACATCTAGATGTGTATAAGAGACAGGGATTGCATTTTCGCTAAGGAAAAAGTTGCTTCAAATCACCTCAGGAATCCCCTGCTTTCGGATTGCGAGACATTTTTGGGACACCCTGTATATGTGCTGTCTCTTATACACATCTAGATGTGTATAAGAGACAGGGATTGCATTTTCGCTAAGGAAAAAGTTGCTTCAAATCACCTCAGGAATCCCCTGCTTTCGGATTGCGAGACATTTTTGGGACACCCTGTATATGTGCTGTCTCTTATACACATCTAGATGTGTATAAGAGACAGGGATTGCATTTTCGCTAAGGAAAAAGTTGCTTCAAATCACCTCAGGAATCCCCTGCTTTCGGATTGCGAGACATTTTTGGGACACCCTGTATATGTGTGTGTGTATGTGTAGAAATAACGATCGAATGTATTTTAGTGACTCTTGTACCGCATCGACTAACGGTGGCCGGTGATGCTTGTGCGAGGTCTTGGACTTCGAACAGCATTCGCATGTACGGTGTGAATTTGATTCTCTCCGAGTTGGCCAGGCACAGCATCTTGTTGTCGTCCAAGACGGTGTTCATATTTTCGATCCATATGGCGTCGACGGGACCGTCGCAGACTATCCATTGGTGATCTGACGTGGAAAACTGACACGAGCATTCGTTTATTATTCGTTATTATAGTATAGCGCAGGGGTGGCCAAAGCGTCGAGAGTTACCAAGATCTAAGCATTTTTTTTTATTTCCGTTATAGGCTCAGATAAAAAAGTTAAAAAAAAGTAGAGCTTTTATTTCTTTTTTTTGTTATTCCAAATAATAGCAAAATTTTTAAAACGTAGTTTAGTCGTTTTCTAGTATACTAGTCCCTCTATCAACTAAAAAAAAAATTCAAATCGTTCATTCTAGTTTTAAAAAAGTTATTGCGTTTTAAAAAGTGTCCGGATAGTAATGGGGGTCACTGTATGTTATCGCCTGACTATTCTAGTATCCAAGCTATTTACGAAAGTACATTTCAAATATATATGTAGATATTTATAGGATATATTATAAAATATTCATTATAGAATATTTATAGAATATTTATAGAATATTTATAGAATATTATATAGAATATTATATAGAATATATAATAATATTTCCTACTAACTAATACCTACTAACTAATATTTCTCCTACACGAATGTGATTAGTAACTATTCTTAGTCGCCCGTCTGTCTGATATTGTCTAGGTTTATTTGAAATTTGAACTTATTTTTGCTTCGAAATTACTACTTTTCTTATGATCGCTTAACACGTACAATTTAATAATATTATAATAATGTAACACGTATAATTAATAATAATATATATATATTATAATATTATTATATATATATATTATTATATAATATATATTATAATATATATAATTAATAATAACATAATAATGTATAA